CAACCAGGAAACAGTCCAGGTCGAGCCGGTAGTTCTAAGTTATCATGATTCCATTGGCTTGAGAGTTTCACGGATCCTCTCTCTCAACACAATTCCTTCAAAGTGAAGAACCCTCCACTTCACACACACACACCCCCGTCTCCACTTGGAAAACAGAAACATTTCTCACTCAGTCCTGTGCCTGTTCTCCCGTCCTTCATGAATCACCCATGTGACCCTTTCCTCACCTAGAATCCAACAGAAACAACCCACGTCATCTTTCCTCCAGTGCTCCTCTGCTTCTATCCTGTTAATACTTTTAAGAAAGCATGAAACACAAGGCCCCCACCTTGTTACATTGTCAGGGTGTGGGAAGAGCTCTTAGGCTTTCCGTCTGTATAATAATCTGCTACAGAGGTTTCTCTTCCATTCTTCTTGGCCGCTGAGATGTCCACTCGTACGGTGAACTGCTGCAAGTTCCTGAGCTGTGTGCCCAGAGCACAGCCCTTGGCCAGAGGGGGAACTGGAGTCCAGAGCGAGTCACAGATAGGCCCTCACTGCCCACAGAGTGGAGGCACCAGTGGGCAAGAAGAAAGGGCCCCCTTCACCATGGAAAGTCTAGACCAGGGGCGGCAGGAAGTGGGCAAGACCTCAGGCAAACCATTCCCCCTAAGAATGGAGAATCTCGGGACATCCTAATGTTCTCTTTCCTTCTGTCAGCCTGGCCTCAATGAAGCTCAAACCACCCTGATGCTGTAGGCGGGTATTAAGGTTGGACTGCTTCTCTCAGGACAGTGTGGTCACCTTCTAGACCTTGAACCCCAGGCTGTGTGCAGGGCGGGTGGCAGTGTGGTGGCTAAGAACCCAGTCTCTGACACTACACCAACTTGGGTTCAAACCACCAGCTGAGTTCAACCAAACTAACTATGTGCCAGGCACCGTGCTAACTGCTTGCATGCATTATCTCATAAAACCCTCAACAATCCCACTGGGGAGGTGCTATTACCAGACCCAACTGAGCCCGAGTTGCACCTGGTAACCTGCCCAGACCTCAGGTTACTTGAGCCCAACATCTATCTTCTTAACTTCAGTGCTTGGCCTGTCACGGTGCCTCAGTTTCCTCATCTACAAAATGGAGATGATACCAAATCAAAGGTTGTTTTGTGGATTAAAAGAAATAATGTATGTCAACCCTTAGCACTGTGCCTGGCACATATTAAGCACTATTACTATTATTGCAATTATTATTAAATAACACACTGCTGGTAACTTATTGGCTCAACAATAAAACGAAATGGAGCCTCAGCAGTTAGGCATTTGGTGAGAGGGTGGGAGAGGGGACAGGGTTTTCAAACAGCCAAGGGATTTGAAACCCACTGGCCATTAAAATCCTTGATGTCACATATTCTGTCCCTCTATTATCATACATCATCCACATCTTCTAAAAACCCCAACACTCTAGCATCCAAAGTGTAGCTCCCAAACTGCCCTCACAGCTGAGATCTCTTTGCCTTTGAAAACATGCAAACAGTAAAAGCCTTACTCAATCAAGAGGCAGCCCTGGCTAAGAACAGCCTCGACCCACCTGAGAGCCCAGGGGAGTAAGGTCACTGCTGGTCAACCTGAAAAGGGGGTGGGGAGGCAGTGCTGGGAGGAACAGAAAGATGGGGCCACTTTCAAATGACACAGGCAGTCAGCAGCTGGACTGTTCCTGAGAATGGGGTCCACCTTCTGTAGGGGATGTGGATGAGCAGAGGAGGTCAGCCTAGAAGAGGCCTTTAAATTAGGCTCTTTCATCACCATTGGTCCAAACCCCAGCACCCTGTGTATGTCATGCACCCACCCAACAAGGGAAACCAAGTCAGGAAGTGGGAGCTGTTAAATCTGGAAGCTGAGGCAATGGTGTGGAGGGTTATCAAGGGAAAAGGAAGTCTGTTTTGGCCAAGACAAGGACAGATAACAAGGCTCTGCCCAAGAATCAGCCCCTCTCTTCAGGGAGCTGATGGTTTGTTCCAGCTGCTCTTTTGGAGCCCTGCTGCAGACAAGCAGCGTCTGCTCACGGTTCACTGTCTCATGACATATCTCCAACAGCCACCTGGACATCCTCTTCTTCACCTTTCCTCCCCTCCCTGACTATGGAAGAACAGGAACCCTGGGTCTAAGTGATGTTGCCCTTGCCTACTCCACTCCACCCTTTTCTCAGCACACGATCACAAGGTGGGCACAGACGGGAGATACTCCAAAAGACAAAAGGCAATAATGCCTAAGGCATTAGCGACACAGGAAGAGGTTTCAGCAATGACCTATCACATTTGCTCAAGTAATGAAAATCTACTCCCTTGGAAACCAACCCGGGCGGGCTTCTTACGGAGCAAGGCCACTGCTGAAGTTTTCCAACAGTGCCGCTCTTTGCCCTGAGCCCTTCACATCCTCCCCCGCCCACCCATGTCAACAGTGGGGATGCTCCTGAGCCTGCTGGGGACTCAGTTTGAAGATCTGAACTCAAGGATCCATTCAAATCAGCCTCCAGCCAACTCAGCAACTAACTTAGACTCAAACCACGGGGTCTGTTTTAGTCTCGCTTAAAATATATTTTTGGAGGGGCTGGCCCGGTGGCGCAAGCGGTTGGGTGCGCGCGCTCCGCTGCGGCGGCCCGGGGTTCGCTGGTTTGGATCCCGGGCGCACACCGACGCACTGCTTTGGCAAGCCATGCTGTGGCGGCGTCCCATATAAAGTGGAGGAGGATGGGCACGGATGTTAGCCCAGGGCCGTCTTCCTCGGCAAAAAAAGAGGAGGATTGGTGGATGTTAGCACAGGGCTGATCTCCTCACAAAAAAATATATATATATATATTTTTGGAATCTTATTGCATAATATATGTCAAGCTACAGGATAAGAAGCCCAGTAGGAAAAAATAAATACCATAAAAAGGGTTTCAAAGTCCACCTGTGAAGGTTAAAAGTTATAATTTGCCCCTTCTGAGAGACACTAGCTTCAAACATACATTATAGAATTCTACAATACTAAGAGTAAATACGTTTTAAATATAGTTATACTACAGCTACTAAAATGCTCAGAATATGAAACAGGCAAAAAATAATACACATAAATAAGGCCCAGGCTGCCTTAGAGGGTTTCGCTTTCAGGAGTAAAACACAAATGTGTACTTTTTCAATGCTGAGCGCAGTTACGGCGGTGGCCTGCGCACACAAAGGGAAAAGATTCAGGTGTCCTGTGAATGGTCCCAAGTAGAACCCACAGGGAGGACGCCCAGGCTCAGCCCTCCGCAGACACTCCCTGGTTTCTGTGCCATTCTTAGTCATCAGCTCATGTCACCAGTTATGAGCTAACTGCAACTTAAGCCCTCACCTGGTGCACAGGTCAGGCCTCCTAAGCTTGAGGGAAGGAATTCTGCAAAACTTCAGGTGCACTCGTGCCACTTCCTCAAAGGCAAGTGGGGCTGGGGACGATCTAGTCCTTGTCCTGGCAGGCGGAGTGCAAGACGGAATCAGTCTTGACTCTACCACATGACCCTGGGGAAGCTCTCTCCCCTCTCCGGCCCTCAGCTTCCTCACTGGGAAGGTGCTCACGACTCTCGCCTGAGGTACCTCAGAAGGCTGTTGTGAGAATGTACAGGATTCAAATTGGAAAACACAACAAAAATCTCTAAATCAGGACTGCACAATCTTAACAAATACAAAAACAAGTGGGAAACAAAATCACGCACGGTAGTGAGAAACTGAATTCACAAGGGAGTGCCCACAGTTTCAGTCACATTTTATTTCTCATACACACAAAACAATGGATCTGAAGCAAGTTATGCTGTTCATTAACATCTGCACAGGTGTATGTTCAAACAGTCTCGAATCTTATCTGTATGATGAAATATCTTCAATAAATGGGAGAAAGAAAACCACTGCGCTATATAGACACAAGGCGGTGTTGCTCTCCAGGCTACTCAACTAGAAAATTCCTTATTTCACCAGAAAGCATGTGGGGAAATCAGAAGAAAATATACCCAAGCTGACCCTCTCGCCTTCTTGCTAGCAGCTCTGATGAGCATCCAGCTTCAGTTTCCCAGCATCCCAGGACCCCCCAACAGTGACCACTTCCACAAAGGAATGTGCCAGGCTCCCTGATTCCAAAGGCAGCCCTATTCAAGAGTGCCTCTCTGCTGCTGGGCCTTAGCAACCAAGGACCCCACGATATGCCCAAAATGGGGCAACAGAGACAAATGAGGTGCCCTTCTGTCCCTGGTTTGGGGAACCAAGTTCACTCTTCAATAAGAAAACTGATTCGTTACTAATCGTCTCCACTGTTGCTGAGATACTGACATCATAAGGACAAGCATTTAGAAAAGGCCTGAAAGCACCTGCTTTTTGGGTGCCCAGGACATGACAACACCCACAGCAGCCCATGACATGAACTTGCTCAGCCAGAACCACGGAATGCTGGAATTAGAAGATAGTTCAGAAAGTAAGGACCCAGAGAGCGATGCACCCTGCCCAGGGTGACAGAGCCAGGACTGAAACCCCTGTGCAAAAATACATTTTGTTTTTAAGGGGCCCTTAGAGGTGAAAAAGAAAAGCCAAGTGTAAAATGGAAGGAAAAGCTCAGAAGGAGGGTGCCTCAATGCTGCCTGCATGTGGCGGTCACGCAGTGATTGTCAGCTGATACGTCGAGAGGGGTCTGCCTTGAGCTGGACGCTCCAGTGGTCTGGGCTGACTGTGGGCTTTCAGGGAGGCAGGAAGGCTGATTTAAACAGAAACAAAGCAACCAGCACCAGACCAAGGTGCCAAGCAAACCATTACACCCTAATTTGGCAAGAGGAACAACCGTGGCACAGAATAATTTAACACATTTGGGCACCAAGTTCTCTCTCCTGCACTTCCTTACTCGTTGTCCCAACAAAGAACTTGTCTTCCCAAAGTCCACCCCTGTAACTAGGAAGGGAAAAAAATAAATCACAGTTTAAAAGAAAAAGGTCCCCTAGTAAAATACAAACTACATTTAAACTGGTCACATTATATAAAAAGTGTGCATTTAATCTTCACAACAGTCAAATCTCTAATCGGGTTAGGTTTTCCAGAGTTTAAAGCAGGACTTTGTGGTTTCAGTGAAGTCATGGTACACTTGAAATCACTATAAGAAATAAGTGATTTTTAAAACACACACAGATACACACTTGCCTTAAGAGTAATATATATACAACACAGCAGCTACATGGGTGGTCGGTCAGGCAAAAGGTGCAAGAACCAGAAGCCCTCTGCCCCCTGCCTAACGGGAAAGCCCCCAGGAAGGATTCAGCAGCAAATCTACAGCACAAAGGTGAATGGCATCGCCCCCGAAAAGACACGGTTAGCTGGACTGCCCTACAGGAGCCACCTGACCCTAAAACCTGTGGGAAAGGGCTCGGTTACAGTACATTCTACTGCACACACCTGAAATATTACAGTGTGTTTTTTTTTCCCAGACTATTATAAATAATTTTTCGTGCTTTCTGAAGAAAACAAAAGCTGAAACCTTCTTTCAGTGTGTGATGAAGTAAGGTGAACCCATATCAGAAAGCAGAGCTCATGCTCCGCAGGATTTTGTGTGGAGAGAATGCTTATCTGATTAATAAGCCTTCATCCTTCCGGCCTGGAAAAGGCAACCCTCCTGCAGCTCCAAGCCAGGGATTATTGAGAAGCCCAGGTGATAGCTCTCCAGCAGCAAAGACATCCAAGCCATGCTCCTCTTCCCTGCTCGGGGGCAGCTACCAACACGGCAGGGGTCCCCTGAACTGTCGGACACAGATGTATGTCCACTCTCTGCTCGAGCCCAGAAACAGTTCAACTGATTGCAGCTAGAAGCGCCAAGCAGATGCTCCCGAGCTGGGCAACACTGTCTTCTCGGTTGTCAAAAACTTTTGTTTAAAAAACACCATGGTTTTACCTCTGTGACTTCTTTCCAACTCAAAGCTATAGTTTACTCACAACCCAAATCATAAGCACACAGACTGTATATACAGATTTCTTTTTAACCCACAAATAAAAAACACTCTACAAAAAAAAAAAAAAAAAAAAAAGACAGTGAGTTGAAGCCTTGTCATCATCTATGTCACACAGCTGGGCTTGCCTTGGAGCCCTGCCCCTCGCTCGGTCCTGCTCCTGCTCTCCCGACCCTGCGTGGCCCCTATTCATCCTCCGTGGCGGCCATCAGCATCCCCTTGTCGGTTAGGTGAGACTTAAGCGTGTTGAAGATGTGGAGCTGCTGATCTGGCCGCAAGGTCAGGAACTGCTGAATCAGCTTGCTCGGATTCGGGCCCCTGGAAAGGAGAATGCAGAAACAGCACTGAGCAGGGGGCCCAGCAACTTCTAGGGCCTGATTATCCAAGTGGCTGCTCCCCCTCTCTGGATTCTCTACTAACAGAGGGTGGGGGGGGCCTCACAGAATCCATAAATAGTAGCAACTGAAAACTGCTTTCATATTTGGGATGCTTTACACTCAAACTGAGATGAAGCTAAAATTCTAGATTTTCACCATACTTAAAAATCCACCTACTATGTTCAGATGGAAAGGCACTGTACCTGATAAAACTGGCGATGTACACATTGACAAAGGTGGCCATCAGATACTGGCAGTCAAAGCGATCCATGATGCCTCCATGGCCAGGAATGGTGTTGGCAAAGTCCTGTTAGAGGCAGGGGAGGGACTGGTGAGCCTGGGCTCAGCCAAGATCAAACCCTGGCCTGTGGTCCCACCTCAGGTCCAGCTACTATCCCGAGTAGCCGAGGGCAACAGAAAGTGAGAAGTAAGCAGTGGTTCAAATGATGAGGCTATAATAGGACACAATCTTACTAAACTACAAAATGCTTCTTTGGAAGAAAGATACAAGATATATTAACAAATAAACTGAAAATCCAACTACTGAATTTTTTTGAAAACATTATATTTTCATTTAACCTGCCTAAATTCTCTGCATGGAAGAAGAGCACACACTAATAGTCATGGTTTATAGCCCAGTATTTTGAAGCGGGTGGTGGGTGACGGGGCAGGACAGGAGGAAGAAGACAGGAGATGAGTGAAGAGGCATCTGGCTGGGAGACAACGAGAAGAACAAAGAATAGGGTTTTCCTACTTTGATTTTAAAGGCTCGTTTGAATCCACTTGCGAAGAATCCTCCAAAGGGGCCGATGAGCGAGGCAAAGGTGGAGAGGGCAATGCTGTGAATCTGGAAGGGGTACATCCGGACTGTTTTCTGAGAAGAACAAAGGAAGTAAAGGTCAAGATGCCTACAAGCCAGCGTCATTACTTGTTAACAAAAATAGCTCTTTATGAAACTAACTATATTTTCCCCAAAAAACCAAATAGGTAAGAAGACTGGATTTTTTATTTTGTAAATCTCTAATGTCTGGCTTAAGAGAAGACATTAAGGTATTCTGCATTCAGTCTGTTGTGATATGTTGCTTTAGTTGAAGTCTATGAAGAAACTCCAGCTTTACACAGATACGTCATTGAAAAAAGGAAGAATATCTTAGTACTGTCTCTTCAGAGAATTGTGGGTATTCTTCTTTGACACAACACCAGAACTTGACAAGTGGTAATTTCTTAAAAATCTGGTGCAATATGGAATCTGAAATCCCACCAATAAACTTTCTGTACTCTTATATTAAAACCCATCAGTCTATCTTGCACTTTGAATGGATCTTTTACCCAAGCATGACTGTGCAACACCATGCATTGGCCATTTCAAAAATACTGGTTCAATGAGTCACGTAAATCTTCCAAATAGACACATTTCGCAATACCATGTCAAAACATCGTATGTTAAAATCACCATCAATCTCACCAGAAAAGCATGTAGGTATTAGGAAGCTATCAAGCTCACAGTGGCAGGTATATGCTTTCCAAAATTCTAATTTTCACTTGAAAGTCAAATTTTCTCATTGGTAACAGTTACTGTCAGTTGTTTTCCCTGAAGTGACAGGCTCACTTTGTTCATTTTCAAGAAAAACGTCTGCCGAATATCCCAGTCTGAAAAACTATAGTTTGTCAGTTCTTTTCAAGTAAACATTATGTTCCTATAAAAAAGCAGATAGTCCAGCTCAAAACTAAAACAAGTGTACACATGTTCTGCTTTTAGGAAAGCACTGGACTTCAGTATTTAGCAGAAGCATTTTATGCATACTTTCCACTTTGGTACAGAGTATTACAAAGGTGTGTACTCAAGAGTCAAGATTCAACTACAATGAGATATCACCTCACGCCCGTCAGAATGGCTATAATTAACAAGACAGGAAACAACATGTGTTGGAGAGGTTGTGGAGAGAAGGGAACTC